GCAACGAAATAGAAAAATAAAAACAACGTTCATATATCCAAATAGTTTGGCATTCCATGAATGGAGATTGTCACAAGCTCCAAACAAACCGCACCCATTACGCATCGTAGCGTAACCGAAACCAAAACCTTGACAGTGCAAAAAAAAAACTCGAATTGCTAAATTGAATTTCCTAAGTGTCCATATAAGTCATCGAACTTTTTTTCGTTCGTAGAAATATTAAGATTTTTTTTTTTGAAAATATATTCTTAGATAAAAAAGGGGGTGAGATCTGTCATCGAGTGAATGCCAGGCATTCAGAATTTCAAATTACAGCCATTTCGGAGCTAACACTTTTAAAAATTCCGACAAAAAATCGGGTACATCTTTATATGAAAACATCGATGGCATAAAAATCCCCCACTAAAATTAGCCTAGATGTCCAAAGTTTCTAAGCTTACTAATTTATTTGAAATAAATCAGACACGTTGTGATATAACCCCATGTAAAGAAAGGAGACGAGATTTCCGTTTAATTGACGTTTAATTTCACAATATTAATTTTAACGATCAATTGGATTGTAAAATTGCTCAAGTCGGGCAAACCCCCGATGGAAATGTAATCAAAATAATGAAAAATATTTTTCACACGATTATGGCCTTAATGTATAAAATGGAGCTATAAAAACACATGGGTGGTCTTATTTCCTTAATTAACCCTAAAAGGCAATATACAACCACCTCGGTTGAAAAATACCTTTAAAATGTCTGAAATGTGCGGGTTCTGTAAATGCGGTCTATATTATACCCTTGAACATTTTCCGACAGGACGTATTTTACCCTCGGAAGACCTATAATGACAAACTGAAGTAAGAGTTGAAAAATACATATATCACCCTTTAAATACATAAATCACTGATCTAAATTTTGGACAAATTCTGTCTATTCCTATGGGAATTAGTGGACAAAATATGCACCAGATCGGATCATGTTTTGCTAATGCACCCATATAACGTACCCCCGTTTTTCGGTATTTTGAGAATTTTCGCCACGCTTTTTAACCAATTTGGCTGTTCTATGATATTTTTGACAATCCTGCCAAAAATCAGGCGTAAGTATACGCCCATATTTCGGATTTTTAACACGTTTTTCGATTGAGTTCTAATCGTGGACAAAATCGTCATGCTTAGAAGTATAAATATTGGTCCAATTGGTCCAAATTTCTATATTTCGAGGATTTTTTTATCCCTTTTTAAAGGCGATTATAAGCCAGAGTGACAGGTATGGATTTTTGGTTTCTAGAGAATTCATATTAAATAGCCATACATGTGGAGTTAAAATTTGATAACATTTTAAGTTACACTCCATGCAGCACAGAGGACCCCAATAAAAGTATTGATTATATAATAAGAGTGAAATCGTAGCAATGAAAACAATTTCGGAATTTTATACTTTGATTTTTTACTTTCGAGCCTCTAAATAAATAATTTCGGCACTGTACGCCGGGCCAACATTGGGTATTTAGTGCCTCATTTGGATGAAATCGTCAGAAAATATATATAGAAGATAAAGATACAGAAAGATACAGGCAATGTGTTGAGGATCTGGAAGGAGCATTTTTCAAAGCTTCTGGTATCAAATAGTGGCGGTGAAGAAGATACCCCAGAAGCAAAAAAAGATGACGCTACAGATTGTATACCACCTAGCCAAAATGAGGTCAGAATAGCAATCAATCGGCTGAAGAATAATAAAGCAGAAGGTGTCGATTGGTTACCAACCGAACTATTCAAGACCGGTGATCAGATGCTGGTCAGAAGCATGAACCAGCTCATTAGTACAATTTGGCTAGAGGAATGCATGCCCACTGGTTGGAGCCTCAGCATCCTGTGTCCCGTGCACAAAAAAGGAGACAAGACGATATGTGCCAACTATAGAGGAATAAGACTCCTTCCCATCGCATATAAAGTGCTATCCAGCATGCTGTGTGAACGACTGAAGCCAATGGTCAATGGCATTATTGGACCATACCAATGCGGCTTCAAGCCTAACAAATCCACCATTGACCAAATTTACACTCTGCGACAGAACCTGGAAAAAACACATCGACACATTCCACCTATTCTCGACTATAAAGCCGCATTAGAATGCCCTATCCACTCAAAGGTATTAAAAGCCATGTTTGCGTTCGGCATTCCTGCAAAATAAATACAGTTATGCAGGATAACTTTAACTGGCACAAGGTCAGCAGTTAAAGTCGGAAAGGACCCCTCGGAGCCCTTGAAAAACGAACCTTGTCTGAAGGTGACAGTCTTTAGTGTGACTTTTTTAACAACCTGCTGCAAAAGGTCATACGAGATGCAAAGATGAACAGAAATGACACTCTGTACATGTTACTCACCTACGTCGATGACATCGATATAATGAGTCGAACATTGAGGGCGGTAACAGCCTTCAGACTTTGAACAAATTGAAAATGAGTCTGGCAATAAATGACAAGAAGACCAAGCTGATGATATCAACGCGCAAGATGTCCAGTAGACTCAGACCAACTGCGAGACTTGAAAACTACAGCTTCGAGGTAGTCAAAGATTTTATATACCTCGATACCTATACTCTACAAGACATTGAATCTACCCGTGCTGGGGTATGGATCAGAAGCATGGATACTTGAGCAAGCAGATGAGGCACCTCTTGGGGTGTTTGTGCCTATCTGCGTCGACGGTCAATATCGGCGTCGAATGAACCACGAGTCGAATGAACCATCTATACACGGACATCGACAAAGTCAGTCGCATCGAGCTACAGCGACTACGGTGGATAGGTCATGTTGTGCGAATGGATGAGGATGCCCCAGCTCAAAACGTATAAAAAAGCGAGTCAACTGATAATTCACGCCGTAGGGGAAGATCTCGAATTCGATGGAAAGACCAAGTGGAAGACAACATTTTGGACCATGGTATTTCCAATTGGAAAAATTGCACACAATATCGACGCGCCTATAAATCTTTTTACACCCTTCACCACTCTGTGGTACAGGGTATTATGTCTTTGTGCATATGTTTGTAACAGGCAAAAGGAAACGAGATAGACACATGGTTCCTTTTGAGAATATGCATAGAATCACTTTCTGAGTCGATTTATGCATGTCCGTCTGTCTGTCGATGTTAAATTGTAAACAAAGTACAGGTCGCATTTATAATTCGAATTGGATGAAATTTGACATAGGTCACTTATTTGGCTCAAGGACGAACCCTATTGAAATTGGGAAAAATCGGCTCAGATTTAGATATAGCTCCCAAATATATTTTCGTCCGATTTAATGTAAACGGTCCTTATATACCTTTCGATTTGCACGAAATTTGGTACAGCGTAATGAATTAGATCTAGAATGATGTGTGCCAAGTTTCCTGAAAATCGGTTCAGATTTGTATATAGCTCCGGATATTTTTGTCCGATTTAAGGCAAATGGTGTACCAAAGTCTCTATATATCTTTCGATTTGTACAAAATTTGGCACAGCGTAATAAATTAGGTCTAGAATGATGTGTGTCAAGTTTCCTGAAAATCGGTTCAGATTTGGATATAGCTCCCATATATATTTAAGGTAAATGGTGTACCAAAGTCTCTATATATACGTCGATTTGCACGAAATTTGGCATAGCGTACTGAATTAAGTCTAGAACGATGTGTGTTAAATTTTCTTGAAAATCGGTTCAGATTTAGATATAGGTCCCATATATATTTTCGTCCGATTTTATGTAAATGGTGCACCGAAGTCCATATATATATATCGATTTGCACGAAATTTGGCATAGCGTAGAATGATGTGCGATAAGCTTCGTGAAAATCGTTCCAGATTTAGAAATAGCTCTCATATGTATTTCGTCCGTTAAAAACGGTTCAATGAATTGAAATTTAGCATAGACTATAGAAAGGCATAAAGATCTTATATTCAAGTTCGTTCAATTTCATGCTAATATTCTTTCGAAAAGACGGAGTCTGTTAGGAGACATATGTAGAATATACCCAAAGTGGTGAAGGGTATTATATAGTCGGCCCAGTCCGACTTTACTACTTTCCTTACTGGTTTTAAGTTTGGGTTATGGAACAAATGTTATGCCTTCCATGGCGAACCTTTTATTTCCCGCCTTATTGATCTGCCTCCTTTCGGAGTAGCATCTTTATTGGCATTAATTCGATTCCCGTTGTCTGGGTCATATGTCATATGGGGCAGGCAGCACAATTCACATCCCAGCCAAACCCAATTTGAATAATCACTTAACTTTTTTTCGTTGTATTTAACAAAAAATGAAAACAAAATAAATGCATAATTTTCTTTTCTTTTATTTTCAAATTCCAAAACTCATTTGCATTCTCATTAAACGAAAGCGGGGTTGTAAGTTTGTGTGTGTGTTTATGTTAGCGACGGATGCTTTCACGAATAGATTTATATATTTAAATGAACATTCATTGAATATTAATTAGTCACATATCAAAGCGAAGTGATTCACTTGTATTTATTGCAACTCGAGTTAGACTAGCTGCTATTTATATGAGCAGTGGTGTGTTAACGCCTTTAGATGTGGATGTGTGTGTGCAAGAGTTATTTCTTTTTAAATGGAGAGAAGAAAAAACTTGTTCATTGATCATGACGATATTGGCTGATAACAAAAAACCAACAACAACAAAATCATAACACAGAAGTCGGGGAGATAACAAAAATTCTTCCTCCTTTAGACCAAGTTTTCGATGCAACAAAACGAAAGTTTTTCTTGTTGTTGCTTCTTTTATTTTATAATAATTAAGTGCGGAGTGCATCAAAAATAAATCGTAGGTGAGGTATTGAAGCGAAGGGGGTTTTCAAAACATGTTTTACTACTTGTCTACCAAATTCAAGGCAGCTGATTTTTTTTTTTTTTTTTTTTTTTTGGTAAAGCCCACTTTGTTTCCAAATCTTGTCATGCCTATGTTTTTTGGTATACGATACGATCTGATGCCCAGATCGCATTCCATTTTAACTTACCAATGCCACTTTGCCCATAACATCTTTCTCCTTGAGACCCAAACCGAACAGGTAATCCAATAAATGTTTTAGAAAAACGGCAAACAACACCAATGGCAGCAACAACACGAAAAACACCATCTTTAGGTTATAAATACCGCGCGTAACTTCATCATTTTGACGTGGGGATGCGGAGGCGGTCGATGGAGATGTTGTCACCGTTGTGGTAGTGCTGCGTACTGCCGGAGTTGATATGGCGGTGGTTGCCGTTGTTGGCACATCTGTTGCCGAACGGGTCATTACGGTTATGGTTTGATCGACCATAGTCACACTTTTTTAAAAAATATTTTCCACACAATTTTTTTTATAAAATTTTCATTAATTTTTTTTAAATTTCTTTTTTTTTAATTTTTATTAAAAAAATTATTTTTTTTCAAATTCCTCTAAACTTGGCTTAGCTACGCGCGCTTGCTTTTGTTTGCACTTTTTTCCACCAATCGGTTTTTTGTTTTCGTTACCGTGATCCGTTGCTACTTTTTGTCGCACTTCCACTCTCAGCGGCGATTTAAACGCGTTTGCCGTTTCTCAGTGTTTGGTCGTTGAGTTCGCCGCTTGCCTATTGTTGTCGTTGACGTCGTCGTCGTGGTTGTTGTGTCGTGAAATTAAATATTTTCAAGTTTCTTCCAGTTTGGTTGTTGGTTTATTTGCTTTTGTTTTGTTGTGGATCTTTTTTAACTCAAAACTTAGAAAAACCACTCACACGTAAGTGTGTTCGGTCGTAGATACTCAAAGTGACTGCACACACACTCTCACTCATGGACTTGCATCTCCAGTTAATAACTCTTTGGTATCGTTAAAATGGGGGATTTATTCGACGCATAATGACGGTTGCAATGCATTGCGGGACAGTGGTTATTGTTAGGAAGTTGGTGGAATGACCGAGGGCTTCATTAAAGACTATGAGGGAACTAAAGTACCTCAGGATTCTACAAGTTGCTCAAAGGTAGGAGGAAAATAAAATACCTCAAGGTCCAACAAGTTGACTGATTTTTAAGATCATGCCGTTATGCCGAAAATCTGAGTGACATGTTCGTGTAAAATGAAATTGGGGATAGTAACTTCCACTCGCCAGGGCAACAGATCGATTGGTCTGCTGTAACCTTACCCTATGTGATGGTGCTGCCATCTATCGTTGCCTAGAAACAACGTCTACTTAAATTTTGTGCTGTGGTTTGGGTCCTTGATTATTTATATTTTCCATTTTCCTTTGTTGTGACGTTGTCTCCTGCTCGTCGGCTTCATGTAATGGTATGAGAGAAATAAAATATCTGAGGGAACCGACTATCACTGAACTCATCATATCCCACGGCGGCTGGTTCTACGCACCGGATTGGCTCGGAAGAATTCTCCTGTACAGAAGACGTAGAACTTGACAACACATGTTACTATGCAACGGCCAGGAAATGCATCGCATTTTAACTGCGATGGATTGCGATACAAAATCATCATGGTCTCCACGATCCAGGAAACTAGGCTCATCGAGAGCTGTAGCTTACACCATTGCGATGGTTACAACGAGTTGCAAAAGAATCGCGATAGAAGCGGAGGTGGGGGACTTGCGTTTCTGTTACACCGTTCTGTACATTACATACCTGTCTCGCCTGAGCTAGACTCTAGTGACTCATGTATGGAGTTCATGGGGTAGCAGTAAATGCGGAACAACCGAGATTGTATCCCGCGTTATTTACCCGACATTAGATCACTTTTATAGGGTTTTAACCGCCTGGTGCTAGGGGACTTAAATGCTCATTATGAGCTTTGTTATTCCATCCTAGGTAATGACCTGAGGGGTATAGCGCTGGCAAATTTACAGCTCTGAGTTTTGTATGGTGCATAAGGATGCTTCCACGTGAATTAGAAGAGATTACCACAGTTCGCCGGACATCGCCATTGTGATTGCGGGTCTGATAAATGACGTAGTCTAGCAACCCGCCATGCCACTTTATTCAGACCACCTCCCCATCATCGTATCCGTAAATAGATCATCCGATTTCATTACCTCTGGACGCCAAACTTTTCTGACCATGGTAAAGCTGATTGACAAGTTTCCAGAGATTTAACCAATTGCCGCTTCAGAGATCTATCCAGTCCCTCAGATCCTCGGGTAGCTGAGAGGAATTTCCGAGACATCATCACTGCTGCAGTCGACGGTCATATACCTGCTGGCCATATTGCCGAACTTCCAAGCAGAGGCGACGGTACTTGCGATAAGCGTGATGAGCTTTGTCGTACAACATCTGAAGACCCAAAAGTGAAAGAACTCATCCTTGAAGGCAACAGGTCCCATTATCGATGACATTGCGAGGAATGTGAAAATATACGCCGCTAAATCCACACAAAGATTCCATCCACAAAGATTCCACCCCAACGTGGTGTGACATCTCTGGATAGCAAAACGAGGCGTGTAAAGACGGATGAATCTTCCGGAACAATGAATCGGCACAATGAGAGGTACCCACAACCAAGCTTTGCATGTGTTAAAATTGTGTCGGTTGACTTCGTAGGAGATATTTCAACATTCTTCTTATGTGAAAAAACACTGCTATATCAACAAGATGGGTATCCTTCCCATTGCAAATGTCAACAATTGCTGGTCCAGACTTCAAGAAATAATAATCTCAACGATCCGTTATCGATGTTTATTTTGTAGGAAAGATGTCTAAGAGACGACTGTATGTGAAAAAATGCCGCATTCAGAGCTTATGAAGTGGTGTGGTATGTTGAGGGTTATGATAATAGGTATGACACCAATGAAAGGACGGATTGCCAAGTTAGATAATTTCTTTCCAACCCAGAGACACCATAGATACTTTGGATGAGCTGAGGCGATCTCCTCATATCCTGGAGGGAAATTTCTTATTCATCGTACAAAATTTATCATCTTGGTACCTCCCAAACCAAAGTACTACAAATGATACGTTTGCTTTATAATATTTTCCCTAAGTCACTGTGCAACTAATCGTACTGCATGTCATGGCCGAACTTATTGATGTACGTAATCAATACCGGTGGCTGGTTAATACCCCTGATTGGTAATACCTACAATATAATTTTATGTTTTATTTATTCATTTCTTTGCAACATATTTCGCGGAAATCTCCGCACATCTGTATAGGTGTATCATACCTGTAAAATGAAGTTTCTCAATCCGCAGCAACTTTATTCTGTTATGAACACAATTTCAGTGGTAGAGGATCATATTTCTGTGGCACGCTATTGTCGTCATCATCACCAACATCGTCTTCGTCATCGATTCTCATGTTACGAAATAGTATCGGCTTATGATTGTGTGTGTAGTTCTCCCCTTTCATCTTCGATGCTAAATCATACACTTCTTTGGAAGTTTGAGTTGAATTTTGTTTTCCATAAATGTTGTTGAGTGGTTTCTTGGTTACTGCGTTGTTTTTGTTGTTGTTGATCTTGAGGTGTGTCATTCATTGTTTTTGTGTATTTTTGCGATGTTAACCCCAAAGACTCAAATTTGTGGATGGATGCCTGAATGAATATCTGTATGTCCATAAAACTGAGTATGTACTTGTGTGTATCTTATTTTCAATGGTATTCCATTTGTATAAAGCGCTCCATACCAATGAACACCTGCATTTCGAAGTTCCAGCAGAAGTTCCCCTTTTTAAGAAATCCCATTTGTTTCGTGTGTTCTTTTTTTTTTAATAAAAAACCGAAGTGGCCAACGAAGTGGTTACTTCGAATCATGGGCTGCTGTGGCACAGTGTTGTACAAATAATAGAATTTTTGGTTAGGAGAACTCAAATAAAAATCGCTTGACATTTAATTATATTTCTTATTCAATTAATATTCTACATATAGATAAATCGGTAGTTCAAGTAGTTCAGGGGATTTTACAAACAAATTATAATTGCATTTCTTTCATGCCCAAGTACCTACCCATTCCACTGTGTGTGTAAATTGGATATTCTTAATAATGCAATTTATCTTGTTTTTGTTTTGTTCATGTCAGTGATTCAGTTCAATATTGATTTTATTAATACAACACTTATGATGAACTGATAATTATTATTGTATACATAAAATCCATTGTGATGGCAAATTAACTTCAGATCTGAACAAACAATGAGAAGGGTTAAAAATCTTCTTCACTCTATTAAAAATATTTTTAAAAAATTATCTCAATTGTACTAGAGTTTTATTTCATCAAGAAGAATATCGAACAAGTAAAAACGTTCGATTACCTCTGGAGAACCCAGATCTTCCGAAATTTCTAAAATCGGATGGTTATGAGAGCCTTTTTAAAAAAAATTGATTGTATCTTAAAAACATTCTGCTGATATTTTTATTTACCTGAAGAAAATTCGAAATTGACCACCGATCTAATCAGATATATGCTCTCTGTTGAACTTACAAAATTTTCAAACTTGTACCCTTTGCTACCAGAAATAGTGTCTCTTTGGATCTTAACTTCGAATTTGGTCTAGTTTTGGCAAAGAATTTTAGCATTTGTTAAGGTCAGTATTTAAAGTCGGAAAGGAACTCTTGGAGCCCTTCAATACCGAACAAAGATTCAGACAAGGTCGTGTAACCTGTTCAACATACTGCTGGAAAAGGTCCTACGAGATGCAAAGCTGAAAAGAAATGAAATTCTGCACACCAAACTATACATGTTACTTGCCTACGCCGATGACATCGATATAATGGGTCGAACATTGCGAGCGGCAACAGCCACCTTTGAACACATTGAGAAGGTCTGAGAAGTCTGCTAAAGTAAAACTGGCAGTAAATGACGAGAAGACCAAGCTGATGGTATCAACGCGCAAGACGTCCAGTAGACTCAGACCATCTGTGGAACTTGAGAACTACAGCTTCGAGGTAGTCAAAGATTTTATATACCTTGGTAACGTCATAAATAAAACTAATGACATCAGTTTTGAAATTCGGAGAAGGATAGTGTACTATCTATACTCGGACATCGACATAGTCAGACGTATTGAGCTGTAGTAAGTACGGTGGCTAGATCATGTTGTGAGAATGGAGCAGAATGCCCCAGCTCAAAAGGCATATAAAAGCGAGCCAACTGATGATTCGGGAAGAAGGGGAAATCCACGAATTTTATGGAGAGATCAAGTGGAAGATAACATATCGAAACAGGATCTTTTAAATTGGAAAAACTGCGTACCGACACGCCTAGACATCAATTTTAAGCTCGGCTTATGGAAAAAATAGTCTGTGTCGAGCCAGCTAAGTAAGTTGGAATGAAATTTTATATTCCGTTTACTTCATATGAGATT